AGCATCACTTTATTAGCTGTGCCTATAACATCACTGACATGCTAATACTGCTTCATATCAATTTCTAGGATACTGACACTGCTAGTGCCATTGGATCAAAGTCATACAATGCTCTTGCTTCTGGGCTTGCTGAATATAAGTCAGAGAAACCAGCAGAAGAGGATAAACATGTTGCAGAGGAAGAAACTGTTGATTTTGCTGCCGCAACAGCAGCAGCATTAGGGGTTCCGTCACCTACTGTTTCTCTAGGGAAATCATTTGATGAAAGTACACTCTCAGATTCAGCTGAACTGCAAATGAGACGAGGTGACCGTGAGGAAGACGAGGAACTAAGGAGAGTCCTTAGTCTATCCAAAGCTGAAAGCACGAATGTTGTTGATGGATCTGTTTCCTTCAGCACTTCGCAGAGTCATTCATCCTCCAATATAGAGGATACACCACGTAGTGAGAGCTTTGTATTAGAGGCACCTGAGGTGGTAGGACTGTCAAATAAAGAGGAAGGTAGTCATGATTCTACATTACAGAACACAAATTCTGATGCTAATGTTAGTGAAGTTGCGTCTTCAGAATCTGAACAAGCTTTGACCTCTAAAGAAACAGAGGAAGATGGGAAAAGGGATGCGTTAGTAGCGCACCTTGATATACCTGTTCAATCTTCAGAATCTACTGTTGCCTGCCCTTCTCATGAATCTTCTGTTCTCGATGGCGAAGCTTCTGCTCCTGCTCCTGCTCCTGATCTCGCTGAAGCTAGTAAAGAAACCTGCAGAGAACATTCTACTATGCAAATTCATGACACTCAGTCTTCTGATACTGCCCCTCAGGTTTCTGATACTGAGAACAGCTGTGACTCGGCAACTGTAACTAGTCAAGCTACTCCTATGGGTGCTACACCTCAGGCTTATGATACTGCCCCTCAGGTTTCTGATACTGAGAACAGCTGTGACTCAGGAACTGTAACTAGTCAAGCTACTCCTATGGGTGCTATACCTGAGCAGGATGAGAAAGTTGCTTCTCTAGACACTGCTGTGCTTGCCTCTTCAAGCATTCAGGGGAATGAGCCAATCTATCAAGGAGAAGAGCACGTACTTGGCAGTGGAAACATGGCATTTCAAACTGAGGAGCCAGTGTATGAGGGTGAGGTGGTTCTTGCTGAGCAGGCTGACAAGATCGCGGAAAGTAGTCAATGCTTGGAAAATGGAGCTGCAGATCATCAATGTGAGATATTTTCCAGTTACCAGTTGTGCAATTGGGTCATGAATATCTATTCACAATATTTATCTTCACACTCCTTTGTTTGTTTGCAGGGGACCTGATTGATAATTTTCTACAGAGCACTGCTAACCAGCTGACTGTCTATGGGTACATATCCGTTCATAGGTTTAAGCGCATGGATTTCTCTTGTTCATAATTAATGTGGCAAAATTTTCATCATTACAGTTTGTTTTGTCTACAAGAGGGTCTCAAGGAAAGAGAGCTTTGTGTCTTCTTCCGCAATAACCACTTCAACAGTATGTTCAAGGTATGATAATTAATTAAGTCAGACTATTTAATTACTGTAATAAGCTATTAAGCTTGATGTCTTTATTTTCTCCATGCTTTTTGTGCAGCATAACGGAAGTCTATATCTCTTAGCAACTGATCAGGGTTTTTTCAGCCAAACTGATTTGGTATGGCAAAAGTTGGATGAGGTATGTAATAGCCCTCTCCACCAACACTTCTATTCACTTGAAATGGAAGTTACTGATTTGTTTTGTTCTCAACTGGCAATCATTAGGTGAATGGAGATGGGGTTTTTGTCACTAGTAACTTCACGCCATTTACGGCTGAAAGTCCCAGAAATGATTCATGGAATCAACAGCAGGCCATGACGACTACTGCTGTATGTGCAACATCAATAAATTTTTGTGATTGTCATTGGGTTCTATTACCTCCGTCCCGAATTAGTTGACTCGGATTTGTCTAGACTCGTTTAAGTGTTAGATACATCTGTATCTAGACAAATCTAAGGGAGTATAAGATTATATAATCCATTGTCTATTCTATGTGCAGGACTATATTGCTCAATTTGACAATTCCACTCTGCCGAACTCATCTGGAGAGTATGCCCCTCCTACTCTTTTTTTTTTTTGCCAAGTTCTATGTTGGCCGAAAAGCAAATCTTATCCAAGTTACTATTGCATAACGTTTTAACCTTTGCAACCATGTTAATATCTGTATTGTCAGATATGATGTGATATTATGATGCCAGTTGAAGCTATGTACAGTAGTATTTTCCCACTCTGCTGTTCTTAGTTATGCCTTTTGCTGTTCTTGGCTCTGTTCTGCACTTCTGCTTGTTTTAGGTTTGCAATCCAGTCTGTTCTACCGAGTGTTGTGGCTATTTCCCGTTCTAGTTCCTTGCCTGGTTGATGAGTTGGTTGGGGATCTTGAATTTTGTATTGAACTTCTCATTTCATGCTTGGCTGAATGACCGATATGGAGAGTAGGTTTTATGTAGAGTATACACATGACATGCTGTAAAAATGTTAAAAGGTTTATCTAGACATCTGGTTGCAAGGCGGCGGTAAAGCTGTTGTCTTGTGACCATGAGGTCACGGGTTTGAGTCCTGGGAACGGCCTCTTGCAGAAATGTAGGGAAAGACTGCGTACACAAGACCCTGCACAAGCAGGAGCTACATGCACCGGGCTGTCCTTTTTTTATCTATACATCTGGTTACTTAAAATACTGCCGGCAATCATAGTTTTAGATGCATTATCAGTATGGTATGATGGATCTCTGATGCAAAGAGATGGTTGTAGGCTTGTAGCACCTATGTGGTCTAGGTTAACCCGTTTAACAGGCTAGCATGATATTAGCCTGACTAGGAAAATGTGTATGAATTATCCTGTTCAACAAGATAGCATGACATTTAGCCTGATTAGGAAAATGTGTGCGTGTTAGCCCATTTAACAGGTTAGACTGACTAGGGAAATGTGTAGTGATAAAGAAAATTGCACAATGCATGTTTGCAGGCAATAGTAGAACCCTCAAGTATACTTGTATTTGCACGTGTACATTCCCAAGGCCTAACCTGTGCGCATGGTTTTCTTTTATATTGGCAGCTCGGATTTAGAGCTAGCTATCGCACTTCAACAACAGGAGTTTGGGCAGCAACCTCAACGACAGGAGCCTCCACCACAACAGCAGCAGCCTCAGCAACAACAGCAGCAACAGACGCAAACACACCAGACACCCAATCAATCATCAGGCCGGCCAGGACTTGTTGTTGGCCCAAGGGTATGTTTCCTTTGGCTTGATGCATGTTGCTAATATAGCGAACGTTTAATCATCACGGCCAGTAAACATCTACTCCTCTGTTCATTATTATAAGACGTTTTGGATATTTCAATATTGGACTACATATGGATTGAAATGAGTTAACAAACACACTAAAACACGTTTATATACATCCGATTCAGAAAAAAGTTACAACATCTTATAATAGTGAACGGAGGGAGTAATTATCACGCATTGCCTGCTACAATTATTATATTCTTTATGTCCTGACAACTGTCATCCCATTAATCCCATAGTTAAAGGTCAAATGTGGGAGATTTGTGAACCTGTATATACCATGTTGCAAAATGCAACAAGTACATGCTATAGTTTTGACCTAGTACTTTCATTTTATTTGAGTGAAACATGACCAGAACCCAGCGTGTTTGGTTTGGGGTAATTAGATCTAGGGAATGGGAATTGAAGGGGTACGAGACTTCAAATCTATTGTTTGGTTGGGGGATTGGGAATTCAGAAGGGAATAGGCATGGGACTTTAGACTCCAACTCCCACCGTTTTATTAACAGGGGAGGGGGTGGGAATCACTTTTGTACTGAAGTTATTTTAATGTCAACTTGTGAACCATCTATGTTGTTGCTACAATGTCAAAAACTACCTATTTTCCATATTTTACATGAAATTAATATATTGCACAGAACCAGTAATTATCCATTTAGTCATGGATCCTAAATAGTAAATTCCTCTGTAGTCCTTGCACTGAAATTTATCATTCCTGGTGTTTTTAACAATTCTTATGGTATCAATGATTCACAATCGCTTAGTAACCAGGGGTGGCCTATCTTTGTCCTGGCCTACTTTACACATTTTATATCCTATATGTAATTCTTATGCAGCCGGTTCATCCTTTCACTTGTCTGAATCACTTGTGGTTTCAATTCTGCAGCAGAGGTCAAATGTCCCACCGCCTGCAAGAACCGAGTCGAAGAAAGAGAAGTGCATTGTAATGTAAAGATATTCCAGGAACAGAACAGGAGAAAGGAAAAAAGAGACAAGAAGGATGAACCATACATATACTGTAAAAAAAATCTTCTTGTCTCGTGCCACGGCACGGCAGACTAATATTTTTAGCCAGCCTCCTTGATGCCGTTTCTTGTTTTTAGCTCTCTTCGTTTCTCCTTTGTTTTCTCTTGTGTAAATACCCTCTCGGAAAGCCATAAAACGTGAAAACAGAGGTGCTGTCGATGTGTTGACCCTGCAATGTGATTGATCAAACTCAACTCATCGTCCACAAAAAACCGTCTTGCCTACTGAGTAAACTCAACTCATCGTCTTGGAAACGCTGCAATGTGATGACGTGTGACTTGTTTTCTCACACTTATGTCAGTTATAAGTGTTATGATCGTGCAGTACTAAAGATATAAACGTGCAAGGGAAAGTCAGAATTATCTTCCCAAAAACTTCTAGTTGATGTTACAGGTGCTTTCTATGTGCACATCCAATTCAACAACCATATGCAGAATCCATTGTGCCACAACACTCCTATCTACGCATATCCCTTCGAAGAACAAATGGAACAAAATTGCCGCACTGTACTGGTTAGCCAGTTTGAGATGCACAAAGCGGCAGAGGTATAAGCTGGACTTTGATCTGTCTCGACTAAACGGACAGTGGAGTGGCGCAATCACCCCTCTACACAAAGGAGGGGTAACAACTCCATCAACCATCAAACTATCTCGATGTAAACCTCCCCGTTGATCCGGCCAGCAAAGAGGGCGATCATGAAAGGGAACCTCGCAAGGCATGCCACAAAGTCATCCCTGCTGATTTTGTCGTCGTCGTCAATGTCAAACGTCTCAAACAGCTTCAGCATCTGGAATCGGAGAACAGACAGGGTGAGTCAAGTCGGCACACTAATGTTGCATCCAAGTGGACCTGAAGGTCGAAAACTCACCCCATCGTCTGCTGGAGGAAGCATGCCCGACCGCAAGGCGTTGGCTAGCTGTGCAAGGGATATGTCAGAGGTCCCGGGGGCCTTGCATTTCTCGAAGGCGGTTTCGCACACTCCCTCAAACAATGGCTGCTTCCTGAGGTGCGCACACCCGACCAGGAACTGTGTACATCAGGTAGCACCGTGGTAGCATGTTAGGAAAACATACAGCAAATAGCCTATGACGATACAGGGTAAACATATGCCAGCTACGAGATAAGACTGCGTTTCAAGTCCCATACCTGTCGGAATGTGATGGATTCCTTATTTTCAAAATCGAAGTAGTGAAATATCTGAAACAATTATGCGAGTTCAGCAAAGATGATAGTTTCAAGTAACTTTTCTGTCAATTTTGCTTCAAGGAAATTAAGCTTGATGGTATTTGCAGGGAGGAGAGTGTTAGTACCTTCTTGCATAGAGGACTGCAATATAGGCCAAAAAGAGCCCAAAAATCTTGTGCTTTAACACGTCCACTGCAAGAATTGGTTAATTGTATTTATCACTACTGCGGAATGACAGAAAAATAATAGGCGTGTCTACTTATAAACAGAGAACTGAAATAATGTTGCATCCTTTAAGCAAGCAAACGTTAATGACCAAACTTTTATAATCTTCTATAAGGTAATCCAGTAGTTGTCAGTTAAGGGATGAAGAGCTTACTCGCTGTCTGGATTCATAGCCAAAAAGTGCTCCAAGAGTTCCATTGCTTCTGCTGTGCTTACACCATACACCTGAGAACAGAAGTAAAAAAGAAAATCAGATACTATCACATAGCTGAAAGCAGTATTCACAGTACTTCGGAAAGAGCCAACATGTGAAATAAAACGCTGCGTGGATCATGGAAAAAAATCAACTACATACAAGTCTACAACTATCATTCATCTACCCTCACAGAGAAGAAAAATGTCTCATTACAGTGAAGCAAGAGATAACTCTAGATGCACAAAGAAGCAAACTTAAAGGCAAATGAAATCAACGTTGTACCATAACATTTTCTTCAATAATAGCACAACTTCACAATCTTATGATGTTTCTTTGATAGGTTTGTTCACCAAGTTCTACATACAGTGTAATTTAAGAAAGACTTACTTCTTTTACCCAAGCCATTTCCACCATATAACTTGAGCAGTTGGCCTGCAAATGGAAACTCAGCTTATTAGAGTCAAATTCCTACTTCCTACTCAAGTGAACGCATGCCCATCTCCAGTTACCGCCATTTGAAATTCTGGAAGATTCCATATTGTAAGGACTCCAGAAAACAAGGTCAAAACTGGCACATGAATTTAGAATAGAGACAGTGTTGTAGGGGGCCTGTTACCTTTCCAGCTTCTTCTGCTCTTGACGCAATCATTGAATCAGCATATGAATAAGAAGTCGGTAAAACATTAAGGGCGTGTGCCATAGCATAGCTGGTCTGTAGAATAAAAATATCATGACCGCATTGCTACAGAAACCATAGGAGTTGAAAGGACGATTCATTTGAGTAAAACAGTATTACATTCTCTGCAAAATGAAGGGCATTCTCTTGCTTGATCTCAGGGGGGTAGACAATAGGGAGGTACTCTACCTGTAAAATCAATTATTCATATAAGGAATGAGCTTATTGTGTGAGGAATTGCTGCCAATAAACATGAGAGACAGTGGTTGAGGTGTGCAAGAAATGCAGACCTCCATGAAGTTGTGAAACTGGGTGAACATCTTGAACATGAGTGCTATTAGTGATATGTTTCCCCTGAAACACAATAACAATTATGACAGGGAACAGCACAAAAAGAAAAAAAATGTGTAATCTTAGAGAAACTAACCAGGATTGGTCAAAGTGCACATGGGGGTAACGAACAACAACTGGTTGAACAGGGTAGCCAGGTATGAATGCTCCATGTTGGAATGAAATCAGGAATCTCCCATTTGTTGTAGTGCCTTCAGGGAACAACAGGACACGCGGAAAGCTATTGCCAGCTGCCTTTCTCTGAAAGCACATCCTAAAATGTACCATATGAACACAATAACTAATAGACAATCAAGTTGTTTGTCTTATGTCATAGTATGAGTTTCATGTAATCAAGTTACGCCGTGCACTTTAGATGACAAAAGTAGGAAGTGCAGAACAACTATGGGGTCAAAGGCCTGATGGGAAGCATCCTAACCTTTATTTCATTCACAGCTGACTTCCTTGAAGCTGGCGAGAATCTATCAACGTATATAACCTGTAAGATAGGTATAAATTGTCATAAAGTTTGACACTTGAAAGGAACTTGCAAATTGAGATGCTTCAAGAGGAGAATGTAAAGGCACATGCCTGCATTGCTCTTATGATTGTTCCAACAAATGGTATGGCATCATGGGAATCCGATGAAACAATGGTTGGGAACAATTCATAGAAGAAGTATATGGGATCTATGTATGATACATGATTGGAAACGACTATAGGTGCAAGCTCTCTAGGCGCAGGCCTTCCTTTTCGTGTGATCCAGTGATACCTGAGAGTACAAACGAGTGGCCAATAAATATCAGGCAGTATTCAATAGCATTATAAGATGAGAAAATATGATATGTATGCGGTCAAAACCAGAAACCCTCCAGTAAGTATAAACAAGCAGTAGAGCACATTGTACAAATAATTTTTCGCCAGTTAGCTTTTCATTTTATTTCAAGGAAGGTTTGAAGCAAGGTTCCCCACCAGTCACCACTTTGACATCATTTTAAAAACATTCAATGAATTATATCCAAAACGTTCAAATTAGCAATTGCCAGTTGTGTAAAGAATAAGGTCGTACACCCCACAAGCAGAACCCATGAACTGTGCTTCCAGCATGGACATCATCATCATTTGAATTGTCTATACATTATTCCCATTTGAATTATCCACAGTCACACACATTACGGACCACCTGGTCCATGCCCCCAATTAACAAGGATGTAACCAAATTATCGGGAGTAATTTTGTTGAAATAATTGTCCTCTTCTATTCTTGGGTATAGCTCTCTCTCTCCTTGGGTATTAACAAGGATGTAACCAGCAATGTTGTGTGATCTACAAACCCAAGCAAAAGCTAACCAGAGGGAGAAGGACCGTGCAAGAATCAGTTTCCAACCTACGGTGAACTGTGATATTAACCAGACGGGCCCTCCCGTTCCTGTCGGTCAGCCGTATTAAGTGCATGTCGTAACAAACAAAGTCACCCGCACGGTCCTTCACCTTCCGAGCTGATACGGCGTCGGCGTCGCCCCCACCAAACAAAATCGCTGCCCACACACGTGCCGCAGCGCAAATCCCCCCAAATTCTGCAAACCAACCAAACATCTCCCGATCGCGTCAGCCATCTGCGGCAGCTTCGGCATGTGTGGCCTCGCGGCCGAAACCTAATCATCTAGTGAAAAAACTCGAAGCTTCCCAGCGGCTCATCGATCGAGCGCCAAATGTTCAGATCAGATCGAAACCCAATCCGAGCAGAGCTGCTGCTGCTGCTAACAGCGCTTGCTGAGGCAGAGGTATATACTGACCCGAAGGAGAAGAGGATGCAACGCGCGGAGAGCCGAGTGACCCACATGAGCCGGCGGCGCCAGGCCGGCATGGGGCCGGCGCCCTCCCGCGGGCGCTCCCGCGAGTCGGTCCAGCCGCGCAGCGCCACCCACGTGGCGGCGTACCCGATCGCGATGGCCAGCCCGAAGAGCACGAGCCGCGCCGCCGCGACCGGCGCGAGCAGCAGCGTCCTGGCCCACCCGTACGGGCCGCCCAGCCACGGCGTCCTGTTGCGGAACGGGTCGGCGGGGGACGGGCCCGGCGGCCGCGGCGGGCGGCTGTCCCCCGAGAGGAACGCGAACGGGTCGCCGCCGTCGCACACCGAGGCGGCGGCGCAGAGGTCGTCGTCGCCGTCGTGGCCCCGCGCGTGGCCGTTGGCGGCGCGGGTGGGCGTGGTGGGCGTGATGGAGTCGGAGAGGAGGGGCGTGGCGAGGGAGGAGGCGGGGGTAGGGCCATGATTTCGAGAGGCCATGGATGGGGCTGCGGGGGGGAGGCCGGTGGGGACAGCGACGGCGGGAGGAAGCGGGAGGCTGGAAAAGGAGCAATGGAGGAGCCGAGTTATGGCTATATGAAAAGCAAATAGCGAAGCGGAGGGAGGGAGGAGGAGATGATCGTTTTTGTGGTCGTGGGGCTCGTGGCCTCGTGGGTTCCTTCTATTTTGTTTTTGCGTTCTGGCACTTTCAGATATTGCTTTTCATGGATCGCCCCGGCTCAGAGAAAGGTCCGAGATCCTTTTCCAGAGAAAAAC